GGCGATTCTCTCACCTCAGCCTCCCAAGTAGCTGGGACTAGAAGCATGTGCTACCATGCGGGGCCTGGCTCATTTTCTTTACTTTTTTTTTTTGTAGAGGTAAGGTTTGGTGAATGTTCCCCAGGCTGGTCTCAAATTCCTGGGCTGAAAATCCTCCCAACTCAGTCTCCTGAAGTGCTGGGATTACAAGCATGAAACACTATGCCCAGCCAATTAAAAACATTTTTTTCATAGAGACAAGTTCTCACTGTGTTGCCCAGGCTGATCCTGAACTCCTGGGCTCAAGTCATCCTCCTTTCTTGGCTTCCCAAAGTGCTGGGATTACAGGTGTAAGCCACCATGCCCAGCCCTTTTAAAAAAATGGCTATGTTCTGTTCACTCAATGTTGCTTCTGTTAAAAAAACAAAAAGACAGAAGGCATAGCATCTACTCTTGATGAGTGTACATTCTAGTTGGGGCCAGGAGTAGGACTTAAAAATACCATAACTTCATCTCCTCCCCTAAATAGTGGGCTCTTTAACAGTGAGGACTGGGATTTCTAATTTCCCATCCCCACCTCCCATGCACACTTGGTCTGTTGACTGGCACATGCTTAATAAGTCATTGCTGAGCAGCTAAGCAGATGGCACCTGCTGTTATTTTTTGTTAGGTCTTTTATGGACTAGTTCTGTGCACTGTTTTTTATCATTTCCTTTCCCTAATGCCTAATACCACTGACCTTTGGGAAACTCATTATATTATTCGCAAAAACAGAATCTGCAAACTCAGAATTTTTCATTGTAACAAAAATATGCAACAGACTGCAAAAGGGAGAAACGATTTCATTAAAACTATCTGAAATTTCCTAAACTCATTTAGAATCGTAAAGCGTGGCAACATTCCATTTGATCTGTGTCCATAGCTTTGTTAAATTCACCAAAATGCTGTAAAAATACAAAACATTCAAGCAGATCATAGTTGTTTGTACTGTCTATCATAATGCTTTCATTTAAAGTAGATATTGCTTGGAAAAAGTCAAACGTAAGACTCTATTTTGACCAAATAAATGAGAAAAGCAGGACAAACAGGGAATAGTCAGTATTTGGAAAGAGCAGCTGGGACATTTTTGATTAAGCTATTTCTGCTACCAAACAAAAATCCTGGTTATAGGATCTGTCACAGATATGCTGACTTCCAATATGTTAAGCTAAACAGAATTTCAACTCTCTTTACTGCAGCAGCACAAAATATTCACAAGATACATACAGGATTTTAACTCTCACTACTTTACCCTAGCCTTGTATGATCTGAAGACCTCAAGGTTTGACTCCCCCCAACCCACACCACCCCAGACTCTTTCCCCTGCTTTTTTCAGAGTCTTGCTGAATATTCTTTGGTGACACACACCAGGATCGTGAAACCACACCAACTTAAACCCTGCTTGGGCCTGGAAAAACTTCCAAGCTCTGAGTGGAGGGAAAGTTCAGCCGTGTGCCATGAGCACTGGCAATCCTGAACAGAGGAGAATGGGCTTGATGCTAGGCATCTATTCCTGGCTGCCTCAGCTCCTGCTGGTTCCAGATAGAATCTCTGTGGCCAAATGAGGCTTAATAGACAAAATCACTCTCTAAATGGTTGTCCTGGACACAGATCATCCATACACGTGGCCAGAATGATGGGTAAACTGCTGAGCAGGACCCAGGAAGGGAGGGGCTAACAAGACGGCTTGGACCACCATAGGCAGTCGTTGAGCGCAATTGACATGGTGGTCTCTGTTGAAAACAACACATTTGGGCTTTCTCCTGCAGAAGATGCTCTCCTAAAAACATCTGTCTCGTGGTCTGACATCTTCCTCTGTACTTACTCTGCAGAAGTTCTATCTAATATTTGGTGCCTCCATAGAGATCATAGACATCAGAACAATCTGAATTGCTCCTTTGTTGAGAAAAATGTGATAACTATTTCTTCAGAGATTATAAAATCATAGCATGTCACTGTTAAAAGGGACATTAAAAATCATCTAGGTCAGGCTCAGTGGCTCAGCCTGTAATGCCAGCACTTTGGGAGGTCAAGACGAGTGGATTGCCAGAGCCCGCAACCCGGCAGCTTGGTGAGACCTCGTCTCTAAAATTAAAAAAAAAAAAAAAAGATAACCAGGAGTGCTAGCATGCATCCATAGTTTCGGCTGAAGGCTGAATGGTTAGATGATTTTTTTTTCTTTTGAGGTGGAGTCTCACTCCATCACCCAGGCTGGAGTGCAGTGGCATGCTCAAGGCCACCCTAGTGTCAACCTAGCCTGGGCGAGGGACTTAGACTCCACCTCAAAAAACCCCACAAAATCATCTAACTGCTTTATTGTATGTATTGATCATGAAACTGAGGCATTTGGAAAGTTAGGTGACTTTCCTGGTTGAGCTATGGTCCACATAACTGTGACCATGGTACTAAATTGGTGGTGTGATCATCTAGAGGGCAGAAAAACTCACAGAATTGCTCTCGGTATATATTTATATTCTCATATCATAAAAATGACTATGAATGTCTAATAAGAATGATTTATTGTGACTTTTATGACCATACACGAATGGCTTTTATGAATATATTTTGCAATATATATATGTATATGTATGTATAACACACACACACACACACACACACACACACATATGGTACATTGAAATCAACTCCCCAGGATTTCTTATCCTCTTCACTTGCTTTTTTCCACATAGCAGTGATTATCATGTCACTTACTTTGTCTTTTACATATCAATTTTGTTACAGTCTGTCTCCTTCCCATTAGAATGCAACCTCCATGAGGGTAAGAAACCAGTGGCCCTACATGAGGAGCTACATGGACTGTAAACCAGACTGCCATGAAAGATACAACTTTTCTCTCTTATCCTTGCCTCTGACTTATTCTAGAATTTTATCGGAGTTGTTTTCTAAGAGAACTGACACATCGCTTACTACGTGACTCTAAGGAAATCACGCTACTTCTTTATGCCTCAATTTCCTGACCGATAAAACAAAGGGATTGGTTTAGATAATCTTCACGGTCCCTTCCAGGTGTAATATTTGTTCTCTGGTGTATCCCTAGCTCCTAGAATGAAGAAGGCACCCAAAATATTGTTAAATGAATAGATTAGTACACTAGTACTTGTATATAAAGTGCAAATAAATGTACATGTCCTCTGTGGATGCTCAAGGACTTCTTACTGATGCAGGCATCCTAGTTCAGTTTGGAGCCCTCTGAGTTAGGCAATTTAAAACATTTTTAAGTCTGTGAGGAAACTGGTTAAGAAAACGAACAAATGAACAAATGGGGTACCAATTAAGGAGGGGACTTGAAGTACAGCCTTTTCTGTGCAGTGAAGACAAGCGCAGGTGGAGGAGGACTTTTTATTCTGGGAAATTGTTTGCATGGCCTATTTTAGTTGTATCAAAATAGGACAAGTAGGCAAGTGTTATCTTGGGTTTCGAGAACAGGAACGATGGCAACGGAATCCAGGGCTTCTACCACCTTAGATCACTGGTTAGAAAAAACATAACAAACAAACAAAAAGAAAGCCCCCAAATATGAGTTCCTTCGGGGAGTCAAGGGTTCAATTTTAGGAAGAGCTGGAAAGGCAATTGGGAATTGTCCCAAAGAAGGCCCAGTGGGAGGCAAGAGCAACAGGGCCCTTCAAATAAAATTCCTTCATGAATAGTAGATTCTAGGCAGATTAGCTGAATCTAGAAAGTATGAGTGTTGGGTGGAGCAGAGGCTGCTGGTTGTGGCATACTCTGAACTTGAGGCCAGATGCACTACAAGGCCCAGCCACGTGGGGTCTGTGTTTTCATGCTTTCATTCTGTGCTTCGGAGAACAATGACTGAGTAGTGTGTTTGGCCTCAAACCTGCTGCTGTGTAGGTTTCTGGATCTGGCATTTTCCACATAGTCAGTAGTACCCACAGGCCTACACAGGGGTCAGCTTCAAAAGCAACATGATATGAGAGGGGGAAACAATAGCCACGGCCCGCAAACTCACATACACTCTTGTCTATGCCTGGCATTCGAGAAGGACACTTTTCCTCTGTGATTAAGTCCTTAAGATACCAGGGCAATTTGAGGCTGGAATGGAGTAACAGGGCATGAGGTGCAGAGGTCCATGGGGTCTACTCACATGACTAACTGGCAAAGAGAAATGAGACATGGCAGTAGTTGCTTTCTGTGCGTTTAGGGGTTTTCTACGGTTGTATAGTCTTTGCTTTCACCTGTGAACATTTAGAGTCACATTAGAGGTGTTTCTCATTCTTATAGTCTTGGAAACCATCTTCTCAAACTTACTTTGAGAAAGGTAAGTGAGTAGACAAAACTTGAATTCTGAGAGGAGGAAGTGGGAAATTAAAACACATTATCTGCTGCTCTAACAGCACCTTCATTTGCCTTGCCAGATTACCTGCATCTTCCAACTGCTGTCTTTGTTGTTGTGGATAGGTCATAGAGATTAAATGTGTGAACTATCCTGTTCTATAATAGCATCAACCACCAAGGTTATTTTATAGATAAAATAGAAAAACGATTGCATTAAGGGTCATGTATCTCAAAATAACCATACTAGATGATATATGTTGATAACGCATTGCATGAAAGCATTCACTCTTCTTCCTCTAAGTGATATGTAGTCTAAATTAATGTGCTTTTTACAGGGGTGCACTGAATTGTCCTAAGGAAGAAATGAAAGATAAACATTAGTCGTTCTTTTGTTTAATTGGTGGTCAAGGCTCTTGCATAAGTAACAGACATGCTGCATCAGAACAAGTGTGGAAGGTTCAGATGTAAGATGTGGACCAGGGACGTGGCACGACTCGGCCGCTGGCCCCTAGGATACCATCAGCTTCTCAAACTCAGCCACAGATGCTGAGGAACTCTCAGGAAGATAAGAGCTGAGCTGAGCGAAGCCCAAGGAGTAATCCCCCTCTCCTCCAGAGTTCACGTGTTTACATTCACAAAGCCACGGTTTCACTACCAGTCGCACTTACATCTTGGTTAGACATTTCCCAGTAAGGTCTCTCTCCATAGGACATGACCTCCCACATGACAATGCCATAGCTCCACGCATCGCTTGCTGAGGAGAATTTTCTGTAGGCGATAGCTTCTGGTGCTGTCCACCTTATGGGGATTTTTCCTCCCTGGAAAACAAATTGGAGATTTCTCAGCTGGCTCTCAAGTGTATTAAAAAAACAAAATGGTATTCCAACTCAATATCTTTTGTCAGAAAGATCTAAATACTTCACAATAGCACTGGCATTTTAAATTCAAATCAAAAGAAAGCCAGAATGATGCTAAAATGTCAGAAATATTTTTCCTATAATAGTCATTCAGTGAAAACAGTTTTAATGGGAAATAAGTCACACTTCAGAAATACTTTATTTCATTCATTAGAGAAATTTATTTTTACTTTAGATTCACACAGTTAAACTCACCATTATGCCATTTGAAGAAAGTTCCAGATTATAGAACATTAAAACTAAATATCATTCAACACTCATTAAACATTGTATTGCATTTATAAATAATAATGAGAATAAGCTCTAACTTAATTGAAGACAAGTGGTTAAATACAGAGCTGAAACATTCTCCCAGTTCAATGCTTACCAGAATGATCTTTCCATCTCTTTCTTTTCTTTTCATCTGCAACGATTACATTTATTTTTATTTTATTTTTATTTTTTGAGTTGGAGTCTCCCTCGGTCGCCCAGACTGGAGTGCAGTGGCCGCTCCCGGCCCCCGCAGCCTCGACCTGCCGGGCTCCGGCGATCCTTCCGCCTCAGCCTTCCGAGTAGCCGGAATTACAGGCATGCGCTACCACGCATGATTTTTTGATTTATTGTAGAGATGAGGTCTCGCTGCCCAGGCGGGTCTCGAACCCGCGGGCTCAGGCCATCCACTCACCTCAGCCTCCCAAAGGCGCGGGATTACAGGCTGAGCCACCGAGCCCGGCTTACATTTATTTTTAATAAAAACATTTTTTTAACAGTATACAAGATCACCTCTGAACGATAATCTTTCTTTCAAACACTTGGAGCTAGTGTATGTTTTTCTTCTTCCGTGTTCAACCTAACATTTTAACGTATTAAAGAGATTCAACTGCATGCATTTAATCTATAACGTTCAAGAATTAAAGTTGGCCATTGTGTTACACTTACATTTTTATTAACATTCATTGCATTTTATCTGCTGCAACACTCAGTCGATCTTTTTTTTGTTACTGTAATGGCAAGAATAAAACAATTCATCCATTTGATTGACAGTCTCGGAAATCTTGGCCGCTCGGAACTGCGAGTTGAGCGGACGAGGGCAGCCTGGCGCCACTAGGTGGCGGAAGAGAACAAGGAGCGGCTTCCAGGCTGCCGTCTCCCAAGCCAAGAAGGCGCCCGAGGACCACAGCGCTATTCTCGGCAGTCGGAGCCCACCACGGTGGGCTTGTTTCCACGCTGCTTGCATGTTCGCGATCACATCTTCTGATCACCCACGCGGCGCAAAGTCTGGGGTCAGGGGGAGCAGAGGTGGGAAGAACTCGAGAGTGCGTTCTTTGGCTCTTGAGGAATTCAGGTTAAGCATCATTCAAGGTGAAGCTATTAATCGAATAATCTAATGACTTATTTAGCAACCCAAACATGACTGACTTGAAGAGAAAAGGGATTCCTCCGAATTTGGAACAAATGAGGCTTCACAAGGCAAATGGGAGTGTGAATGGAGTCATTTCAAAGACTAGTAGCATGGAATGGTTAGAAGGAGTCTTGGGAAAAGCACCTTGAATCCAATCCCTGATTTTACAGGTGAGCAAACAGAGACCAGGACTGAGAGATGTAAAGGTTTAGGGATCCCTCACCATATTACTAGATACTTCATGTCTACTAATGTTATCACAGTAGTATTATGGGGCAGTGATACAAAGATGTAAATACTTCAGCATGGGGGAAAAGTTGGGTAAAGCTACCTTTAATGTTTTCACAGAGTACTTGGAACCAGCATAATTTTAGGAAGCCTGAAGTTTTCATGTGTTAGGGAAGAGGTTAAAGGCGGTCCCAAGTTAAGAACAGGAACTTAAATTTACAAAGTCAGTGATAATAGCTTAAGAGGGTGTTGGGGGACAGGGAGTTGCAAAGGGACGGGATGCATTTTTTTTTTTTTTGAGTAGGAGTTTCATTGTCACCCAGGCTGGAGTGCAGTGGCATGCTCACGGCCACTGTGGCCTTGACCTGCTGGGCTTGGATGATCCTTCTGTCTCAGCTTTCCAAGTACCCAGAACCACAGGTGTGTGCCACCATGCCCGGCTAATTTTTTGATTTACTGTAGAGACAAGGTCTTGCCAAGTTGCCCAGGTTAACCACGAACTGATTCATTCTTGAATGCAAGGTAGGGTTGCCAGATAAAATAGAACACCCACAGTTAAATTTGTGTTTCAGATAAATCATGTTTTAGTGTAAGTATGTCCCATGAAGGCGTTTTTTTGGCATAAGTGTATACCAAATAGCGAAGCATTTTGTACTAAAAAATAAAAATAAGTTATTGTTTCTCTGCAATTCAGATTTAACTAGGCACCCTACATTTTTATTTGCGAAATTTAGCAACCCTAATCCAAAGCATTAAAAACATTCAGAAATGGAAACATTGCAAATGGTTCATTGACTGTAAAGTCACGTTCTGAAAAACACTGATGTGGCCTTCACGAAGGGGTAAGGATGCCTGCCATCATATTGTGCACCAGGATAATAGCGTCCTTTGTTTTACTGTATGCTTGTGACCAAAGTGCTTCTCTCTTGTGGCTCAGCATATTGAAGTCACTTAAGTAAGATTCAGGCTTGTTTCAAATATGGAAGCCACATTTCCAGAGAACAAAGACCACATATGTTTGTAGGTTTGGCCCCAGAACAAACACAAGAGCAGCAGTCTCATCTGGCATTCCTGACTCTGGATCTTTCTTTGTTCTGGCAAACAATATGTAAAAATGTGAATTTCTAGCTTGTCTGACTGTTCCTTTGCTAAATCTCTGTGAGTTCCATTAAGCTATGTCAAAAAACAGAATTCATGGTTATTTTATATTCATTCACTTACAAATGCTGTCTCATATAGATGATTCACAAATAAGTTTATATTTTGAATAACTAGATATTACCTACAAAGCAGAACTTTAACACTTTTCCTTCATAAGATTTGATTTTTTTCTTCAAAGGGAAGATATTCCAGAATATTTGATTAATAATAGCATTACTACCTGTTGTGGACTGAATTGTGTTCTCTTAAAATTCATATGTTGAAGTCCTAACCCCCAATACAACTATATTTTGAGATAGGGACTTTATAGAGATAATTGAGGTTAAACAAAGTCATAAGGATGCAGCCCTAATTCAATTAAGTCGATTGTCCTTTCCTTATAAGGAGATATTAGAGGCATGCAGGCGCAGAGAAGAGGCCATTCAAGGACATCCTCAAGAAGAAGGTAGCCATGTGCAAGCCAAAGAGAGGCTTTAGGAAAAGCCAAATTTGGCAGCACCTTGACCTTGGACTTCCAGCCTCTAGAACTGTAAGAGATAAATTTCTGTTGTTTAAACCACCCAATCTCTTGGTATTTTGTTATGGTAGCCCTAGCAGACTAATACGCTGCCTATATTAAAAAAAAACTAAAACCAAAACCAAACAATACTTAGAAATTATTTTGTTAAAATAACAACATTGCAAAATGGAAAGTATGTTTGTATTTTAAATTTTATTCCAAGTGTTGTCTTTAAATGGAAAGTATAAGCTAGAATAAATCTCAAAATACAATATGAAAAAATGAGTCAGAAGTATAATGCAGGAAATACAATTCTAATGAATGGGAATGCATAACAAAATGCACCTGACAATATGTACAAACTGAAATGATTCTGAGCACATATTGAATAGAGATAAGGAAGCAATCAAATCTTTTTTTTTTTTCAATGGAAGGAAATATCCTGGACATAGTTTATATCTAATTGCAAGGTAAGGAAGAAAGGAAGAAATCATTAAGGCTACTACTAGTCCCTATATAGAGGAAACACAGAAGCCTAGTCTGATTGTTTTTTTTTTAATCAAATGAATCAACTTAAACTTTTGTGGCTTGACATCATCTACATGTTTTTGCCCATGATCTTGAATCATAGACAGAAGTAATGCACTAAGATACTTTTTTTTTTCCCTCAAAGCATTAACCACCAGATGTTTGTTTCAGGTTTCAGGAATGAACAAATAATACTTTAGATTTGAAATCACAATCATTGGAACATTACATGTTACTATACCATATGTTTGTGAGAGAGAAAAAAGTTACCAAAGATGCTAATCAAAACGACTGAATGTAACTCAAAAGCCTTCTCATCTACTAATATCTCTCTTATAGGGCAAGCTCAGTCACTTAGGAACAAAAGAGAAACAGGAAGTAAGCAAGCAAGATGGCCCTGAAACGGTTGTTAGGAAACCTGTTTTGTTTTCCCTGTTTTTCAAGACATATTCAGAGACTGTTGCCCAATAAGTAGGTAGTGGGATGTAGCTGAAATAGTGCTGAAGAGGCAACAAGGAGTACTGTGTCCTTGTATATCCCGTTTATCCTGTATTCTGGAGTGGAGTTGCATTATAGGTGCATTTAATATCTGATTTTAGAACCTAGCCCTCTAATCTTCAGAGGAGTGACCAATTAATTGAAACGTAGTAAAGTTATAGAGGTTTAATACTGGAATCCAATGGGAAAACTCCATAGAGAAGCAGAAACACTTAACAAGTCTCTCTTCCTTTCTCATTCACTGGATTTGACGGTTATCTCGAAAGCAAATGGTTTGAATAGACAATAATCTGCCTGCAGGCTTTCTTTTTCTTATGTCCTCAGTCTATTTTCGTAGTACTCAGATTTAATGAGCATAAAAATTATGGTAAAAAAATACATATTATACTTAAAGAATAACTCAAGAAATTTCTAAGGGCAATTTTTGACTACACAATATTTTTCTTTATGAACTGAAAATTCTAAGTGAGATGCAACTCTGCTATAATTCATTGTGTGATCTTGGGCGAGGCTTGGCTTCTCAGATTTCAGACTGTAAAATGAAAGGAATTGAATTAATGACCATAAAATGGTAAACTGCAATGAGTTTAACTATTTGTCCACAGT